TTAAATTCCTAGATAAAATAAAAAAGCATGAATCAGCCAGCATTCGTGGACAAGCAGGTCTGCCACTAACTGCTATATGCAAACATGTGGATGCAAAAATACAAACACGCGGTGCGTTGATCATACAGCTCACCTGCTACCTTTAAAATACTAAAACTCCGAATTCTCCATTTAACAGCTGTGTGTTAAAACCCTTATTTTTGGTTTATCTTTGAAATGTAAATTCTGAAGTGAAGGGAAATTCATTTCAAACATGCAGTTTAGTTCGGCTCCATGAAGGGTGAGTGCATTGGGATGAAACTGCTAATTTACGTTGTTATTTTTTCAGGTTACGTATTTCAAAGGTTCAGCTTATTTGGCCCAGTCACCACAGCTTTATAAACAGATGGCAATTGCGGCCGATTTTGACAAAGTAGGCTAACACATATGTGTACCCTTTCTTTTGTCACTGGTGATGCTTTTTTCAGCACCACAAATGTTTTTTTTACGTTTTTTTCTCAGGTTTTTACGATTGGTGCCGTGTTCCGTGCCGAAGATAGCAACACTCATCGACATTTAACTGAGTTCGTTGGCCTGGACATTGAAATGGCTTTCAAGTTCCATTATCATGAGGTTAAGTTTTGGTTTTTTAAGTGTTTTGCATGTTTAGTTCTAAAAATAGAAATTAGCAAGCTCATAAATTATGGCAGTGTTTCTCAGGTTCTCGAAACGATTGGCGCTGTTTTGAGTGAAATATTCAAAGGACTGCAGGCGAACTTTAAACATGAAATTGAGACAGTCGGCAAGCAGTACCCGGCTGAGCCATTCGAGTTCGTCGAGCCAGCACTTGTGCTGAAGTAAGGAACAGAATTTCAAGCATGGCAATAGTGGTTAATTTATTGGCAGCAGTTTGCTCGTGCTTCCAGTATGCAGCCAGTATTAACAAGGTGTAAGTAAACGCTCAGCACAGTTGTGCCGGGCTTTTCCCATCGCAGAAAGTGTATTCGAGCATGCAGTCAATTGTATGCTCGCATACTTCTTTTTCCCAGTCAAATACTGCTCGTGCTGCACCCCTTCACTCATTTGCCCGCGCAGTACCGCGATACCCGCGCTGTCGTTTCCGTTATCAAAAAACAAGCAGCTTTTTTGCTTAACGTAGTTTGTCAGTTTTTCTCCACTCGGATGGCGAAAATTGTACACAGAAAGATTTTGATTTTTAGATATCCGGATGCAGTCAAGCTGCTGCGAGAGAACAATGTTGAAATCGGGGACGAGGATGACCTTAGCACACCAGTCGAGAAATTCCTGGGCAGGTTGGTAAAAGAGAAATATCACACAGACTTCTACATATTGGACAAATATCCATTAGCGGTACGACCATTTTATACAATGCCGGATGCAAATGATCCGAAATATTCTAACAGCTATGACATGTTCATGCGAGGTGAGCTACAGACTCGTTTACTAGCTGAATTTTGCAAAGACTGCAGTCTGTACTCAGTGATGATCTCAGTTCATTACTGCACGTTTGTAATTAGTCGCCACCCTTCATCAGTTCGTAGCGCGAAACTTCTCTGCTTCGCCTTTCTTTGTTTTTCCCGAAGTAACGTAGTTGGCCAGCGCATGGGCTGTCGGTGCGGAGATGCGTTTTTCGCATAGCTTCCCACAGTTTTTGTCGCTACCAGCACCGGTTTTTCCGACAAATGTTTGTAGCTAAACAAATTAAGACTGACCGCCAGAATTATCAGAAAAAACTCTCTTAAAATTTTACTTTTCTAACTTTCCTGGCTCTCGAGTTAGCAACTTATCCGAAGAAAACTTTCGCGGGCCCATATGTGGGTACAACGCATATCCGGTGTCTGGGTTTGAGCTCATTGAGGGGACGGGGAGTTTCCTCTTAAAATTACAGTCTTCTAGCTTTTCAAATTCTCGAGTTTGCAGCTCGCCCGAAAAAAAAAACTTCTACGGACCTGTACGTGGGTACCACGTATACCCGGAGGCTGGGTTTGAGCTCATTGAGACTTACGTGGACGAGGGACGTCTCCTTCAAATTTCAGCTTTTCGGCTTTTCTGGTTCCCGAGCAAGCAGCTTGCCCGTAAAAAACTTTGGCAGGCTCGTAGGTGGGTACTACACATAGCCGAGAGCAGGGCTTGAGCTCATTAATGCCTATTTGGACGGGGAGCACCCTCTTTAAATTCCAGCCTTCTAGCTTCTCAGGTTCCCGAACTCGCCCGAAAAAAACTTTGGCTGGCCCGTACGTAGGTACCACGCGGGTAAGAGCACCCTTTTCGGAGATACTGACCCGTACACGCATGTAAATTATGTTCCCCAAGTTTCAGCCCTGTAGCTTTTCCAGGTCTCGGGATGAAAAAAATCGGTACAGACGCGCAGCGCACACAGAGGCACATACACAGGCAACCTCTCATCAATATGCGTTTTCTGCACTGCATAGTTGCAAAAAACGCATAAAAACTGTTTATGCAAAAGTTAACTCTCACGATGAAACAGAAATAGATCCTTAACGTTTATAGATGCATAGGGCACCACTGCACTTCCTGTTTTTACTCGCTTGTTTAGCTTTAGCCGTGCTTCACACATCTTATTACTCATTGTGGATTTACGTTTGGCATATTTGATCATTGACTTTCAATGGCAACTGGTTGGTGGGGCTGCTGCTGCGAACCATGGTGTGGGAGAAAAAGCATTTCTAACTCGTGCTGTTGCCGTTTTCTTGTTTTGTCTTGATAGTTATTTAGATGTCTTCAAATGAACAGCAACGTGCCATTTTTGTGCGTTTTTTGCATCTATGCAATATAGAAAACCCATACTGGCGAGCAGTTGTTTGTGTGTTCGTCTGTACCGATTTTTCATCTCAAAACCTACAAAAGCTACAGGACTGAAACTTCGGGAACTTAATCTACATGTATATGCGGGCCTCCATCCTCAAAATGGGCGCTCCCACCCGCGGGGTACCCACGTACGGGCCCGCAAAGGTCTTTTACGAGCAAACTGCTAACTCGGGGACCAGAGAAGCTGGAAAGCTGAAATTTTAAGGGGATCTTCGCCGCCCACGTAAGTCCTGGTGAGTTCAAACCCAAGCGCCGGGAGCCTGTGAAAGTTTTACGGGTAAGTTGCTAACTCGGAAACCAGATAAGCTATAAAGCTGAAATTTCAAGGGGTTGTTTCCTGACAGCCTAGCGGCCAGTCTCAGTTCTTTTAGCTAAAAGCATCCGCCAGAAAAACCAGTGCTGTTAACGACAAAAATCTGCGAGGAGCTGTGCAAAAAACGCATCTTTGTACCGGCAGTCGGTGCCCTGGCCATTTATTTTTTGAGCAAATGAGGTTTATAAACGAAATTGTTATAGGCGAAGAAATCCTTTCTGGGGCTCAGCGAATTCATGACCCGGCCCTGCTCACCGAACGAGCCAAGCATCATCAGATTGATCTGCAGAAAATCAAGGCTTACATTGACTCATTCAAATACGGCTGCCCACCACATGCCGGAGGTGGTATCGGTATGTTTTTTAGCATTTTTTGATTGTATCCTACACAGTGCATCAATGTGAAGCGAAAATTTGAATTTTGCCAGTTTTTTTATTCGGCCTCTTTCAGCCTTCCCATTTCTTTGATTATTACATCTCCGTTATGTTTGTGCCTAAAACTTGCTAAATGTAGCGCCACCTGTATGCATCAGCGCACTTTACAAATGGATAATCTGTTCCACTCTACTTTTTGCAGGTTTGGAGCGTGTGACAATGCTTTTCCTTGGCCTTGGAAATGTGCGCTTGGCATCACTTTTCCCACGTGATCCGAAAAGAATAACGCCTTGAAAATCTTGGATTTACTTTTTAAGTTTCATTTATCTTGTGGGAAAAATTTAGTTTTCACATCAGAGGACTTTCTTGAATGCCCTGCTTGGTTACTTTTTCTGTAAAATTTCTGTTAATAATAAACTGTTGTTACTGCTTGTTTCATTCATGTTAAAAGGACCTTCAAACTTGGGAGAGTCTAGAGTGAGCCACAGAAATTGCACATCGATTTGTGGTGGCTTCTTGAAATGCAGTTTGTAATGGATTCAGTGAAGTTAAAGTTCCGTGGCTGGGACAAAAATCAATTTGCTGGTGCTATTGAACATCGGTTATTGGTTCTGTTCAAATGAGTTGCAAAAAGCGATAGCGTTCATTTCTGAGTTGTGACTTTTTCCAATAAATGCTGTGAATTCTGCGTTCTAAAGTGTTTATTTGTTTGAGAAGCTGGCTGCGGATATTCCAGTAAGGGCGTGTCTGGAAAAGGCGGCACGCATTTGTTATATAATTGAGCTAAGGCTTCCATGGATTAAGGAACTGAAAGCGTGCCTCTCTAACACATTCAGCTAGTTTCTGCTTTATCCGTTGTACCAGGATTCATGAACTAGAGTGAACGACTTCAAAACTAGTGGATATGCACAGGAATACATCCAGCAGGCAGCCAACAGTTTAACAGCAGTTGCAAATCAGACTGATAATTCAAAGACTTCGTCTTCTTCCTGTTCTCTAATTATCTTCGTTGCGTCTGCTTCCTATGTGGATCGGATCGTCGGGGAAAAGGAGAGTGTAGCCCTCGAATGCAGTACCATAGGTCGTGCAGACACAGTGGCACCGATGTCTGCTGGAGCGCGGTATTAATCAAATTATCAGCCCTGCAAAAGTACGTCCGTCCTCACTTTTTATGCGTTTTTGCTGTGCAGCGCTATAGCGCTGCAACACCTAGCAAAAACGCATATTATCGAGAGGCTGCCTGTGTGTGTTCGAAAAACGAGTGCAATTTGTCACCCACTTTCATCTCAGCAACCAGGAGAGCTGGGAGGCTGAAACTTTGGATATATATTCTTACCCATGTGTCATCCTCCCGTTTTAAGATCTTCCCCATACGGGCCTAGACCCTGCGTATGGGACCCCCAAAGAAATATGTTGACGTGGGACGATTTCTCGGACCAGGCAACGTAGAAAGCTGAAACTGCAGGGCTATTCTCTATGCACGTGCGAGCTAAAGATTTTAAACCGAGATGTCGAGCACCTCAAGCAGCTCCTCAACCCAAAAATTGTTAGCAACTTCGGCCTGAAACGCAGTCTTATATGTAAATGAACATGGATTATTTGATAAACGACCGCTCGAGCAATACTTTCAATTTTCTATGAACTGAAAATTTGCACTTTTTCAAAAAATTTGCATTTGTCATTTTTTCACAAAGCCAGCATTTACCGAAAAAACAACCGGACTTCATGCAATAAACCGGTAATCATGCATCTGGATGTCCGTGCGGCTCTATAATGCACCACCTTCATCCCAACTGACGCCCTTCCTCCT